CAATCGAGACCTGGGATGGGGGAGCGCATGAAGTCTCCTCTCTGCCAGGGGCTCACAGCACCAGAGGGAACAGCTGGCGATTCTCTCTAGGGGAAGGGGGCAAAGATTTCAAGCGCTCCCTCATCCCCAGGGCAATCAGGGTCTGTGTCCAGGGTAGCACAAGAAGTCTCCTGGTCCTGCCCCTTCAAAAATGTATAAAGTGTCCCCCTTTTAAAAATTATTGCCCTCCCCGTCTGAGACAATGACTCTCTTCTTGTTCCAAGGAAATGTTTTCAATTTTTGATTAAATGTAATTCATTTTAAGTGTTTTTTAAATTTAAAATACAAGCATTTGGTGTAAGATACGCTGGAATAGCTGTCACCTAAGGACCAAGATGTGCAACAGCCAGTTTTGGCTCTTTGCTTACACTAGTGTTAAAGTGTTGGTGAGGGGTTTTGCCATTCCTTTTTTTTTTAATGTATGTGCAATAACATCATCTGAATCCTGAAGCTTACATTCTGCCAAAATCATTTAAAATGCCCCATATCTCCAGAATGTTTATCAATTTTTGAAGCAACATGCAGAGCCCTGCAAATTTCTGGATATCTGCTTTATATCCGTGGGTATCTGCATCTGTAGATGTGGATATTTGCGGCTCATTTTTGTAGATACAGATGTGGTTGCGGATTGAATTTTTTTTATCCCTGCAGGGCTCTAGTAACATGGAAATTTCAGCATGTGCATTTCCAGTGATCTTAGCCATAACTAGAATATGCTAAGCACTATAAATTGCTGTACAATTCATCTTGATTAGCCCTCTGCTCAGTGGAAAGCCAAGATTAAAAGATAAGGACTGTTGGAGATTTTCATAATGTAGGTGCAGTGTTAGCTATATGGAACAGCTTGTGTTATTTCTAGTTGCAGCTGATACTACTATTTGTCCACAGTTTTAAAAAAATAAAGTACAGTATATAAAAATAAAACAAATATATAAATAGAAAACTTTCAATGCTGTAGCTCAGATCAAAAGGCTTGAAGAACAATGTTATGATTCTGCAGTACCATAGCCCCTTCCTCCCCTTTGGGTGGATGGGTTTGGGGACTCATGGTTGTGCTCAGTTGTACTTGTGTTCTATTTGGGTTCTTATGTCATGCTCCATATCTGGAGAGGGGCAGATGGCATTAGCACAACGCCCCTTTTTCAAACTCGGAAAGGTCTTTGGACTCCTAGATGCTTCCATTCCTGATCACTGAGAAACAAGCAGAGAGTGTCGCTCCCCTTTGTATCTGCATTCTTGGAACTCAGAATTGGTATTTAGCCTCTTCCTCTAAAATTGAATATTGTTTGAATAGGATCTCCTTTTGGAGAAAATTTACTGAGCCTCACATGCTGACATTAGTCCTAACCTATCTTCAAAATATTTAAGGGTGGTTGAACAAAATCCTGTGTGTATAACGTTCCAATAAATGCTGTTCAAATACGGCTATAATTTTGCTTTAAGTGTTCAGGTGGAAAATTTTGCAGCAGTCAGGTAAACATTTTGTCTAACCACTTGTCTCTAATTTGGAGGTAGTGCACTGGCATGCTGGAGTTGTGGATTTGTATGTGGCTTTAGAATTATCACTCCTGGGGGTGATGGGAAATTGGATGCATCTCAGGGCTGTGCTCTTGCCATGCCATTTGTATGTCAGCCCCCATCCAGGCTTCTTCATGGAGCTAAACAGGTATCTGCCTTGGAGGAGACTATTTACTCAGCAAAAGATAACTCCACCACAGAAAGATTAGTAAACACTGGGATGACATGTCAGTAAAAAAGCAGCATGGATTGATGGGTGCAATGAAAAACTTCCATCAAATTGTAATAAAATGGTGTGTTTTACATTTGTTTTAAGTTTAATTAATTGCTGTCTAATCTCTTACTCATCTGAATGTTTCTATCGGAACTACAAGCAGTTTATCTTTGATAATTTGCTGACTTCTGTTTTGGGAAATAAAAGTAATACATGAGCCGATGTTTATCAATTTCTGTTACTATAAATACTCTTTTAGCTGAGACTTAGAAGTGTAAATACCTGTACCTGTTGTGATAAAACAGAATAAAAAGAAAAATTAGAGCATGGTACAGTGTGACAGATGTGCAGGTGGTCACCACTTTGTTTACAGAAACCAGCATACAACTATACTTCTGAAACCTTTGCCACTGCATTCTTGTTAATTGTACATGAATTTGGGATAATTGCCATTCCTTTTCATGTCAGAAAGGAACCCACAAAACTGGATAAAATAAGAAACCAGTGCTTGGCATAGTGCTACAAGAGGGTAACATTGTCAGGAAGTAGCAATTCCATCTACTGTGAATGAGTCCTGTATTTTAACGCCTCTCCCATAAGTAGCTGAAGACTCTAATGTTTTTGAGCATTATAGTTTAATTCAAATTGCTAATCATTTCTGTATCTTTGACTTTGTACATAACATTTATGTGGAACAAAGTATAAGATACCAAAGTGTGTCCCCATATCCAGCTTCCTGAAAGATTAATATATACTAATAATTGTTAATCTTTTTTGGTAGTTTTAAATTCAGATCATTAAGATTAGGCCAGATTTTTTAAAGTATTTAGGCACCTAGCAGGATTTTGAAAAGTACCCAAGTGCCCAGCTTCCAAATCAGTGAAAGTTAGGCACCTATTTACATCTTTAGTCATATGGATCAGAGGCCAGATTTTTAAATGTATTTAGTGATAGCCGGTTATAAAATCTCATAGACAACATTGACAGGTGGAGATTCAGTCTCAGAGCTATAAGTAGTGTCTGGGGAAGATGCTTAAAGGAAGATTTATGCAAAGATTGAGGGCTTTTCATCACATGGTTTCTAGATTGTTTTTTTTTCTTATTGTTACAGTCTAACGGAAACTCTGAAACTTTACATCACGCTTCATGATATTTGAGTACTTTGCAAAAGCAAACTTCAAGATGGGAAAACTGTTACAAGTTTAGGGTTTATTTACACTACAGACCCAATTGGATCAGTGGACCCAGTTACAGCATTAGTGTTCCCCTGTCCCATATACAATATGGTTCCATTTTGCTAGCACGGCAGGGGACAATGTTGACTTGGCTGTATAAGTAATGCTTACAGATTCTAAGTGACTTGACCAGGAGTTGAGTGGTAGATTGGAGAATAAATCCAAGTCTCCTGGTGTTTGGTCTCTAGATATAAGTAGTAGGTTTAGTACTTACCATTAAATTAAGAGCTTTGAAACAAGGGCAGCAAAATGTGTTTCATTTCCTTTTGTGCATAATTGTTCTATTTCTCTCACTGCACTTAGGAATTTTTGACTACTTATATTTATATCAACCTGGTTTTATTATTTGACTGCTCTTACCTATTCCTGGTAACTTTATTATCATTTTGTCCTCATTTAGCAATCTCTCCTTTAAAATAAACTAGTGGGCTGCACCTACTGCTTGCTGTGCTCACCAAGAGCCTCATGACATCATTCTGTTGTGTGGCAGGAAAAACTTTTTTTTATATATATAGAGATGTATACTTTATAATTTGAGGCAAATGACATAACCGAAACTCCAATCTTTTACATTAATTAATTGATCTGGGACTCTGACCCCTTCCCTAGATTTCCATTAGTCTTTTTTTTTCTTTCCCACAATGATTTTTCATACACTGAAACAATAAGCCTCTAAAATCATGGAATATCATTGACTCATGGAGTGTAAAGAAGACAGCTATACACCTAAAAAAGCATGTATTTTAAAGTATGAACAAATGAACTAATCATTTACTATAGAGAAGGCAACAGATTTCCTTCAAGATGGAAAAATGGACAGAAAAATATTGGAGTCCACATCTGTGAATTTCTTCTTAGAAACAGAGTAGATAACTGTGTTCATAGGGTAAGAGTCCTCTAATAATGTACCTCTAATAATCTTGATTAATGAAAACTCAAACAATATTAAGTAAGCTAACTAAGTTGATCACAGAAAAAAGAAGTGGTCCTGACTTAACAAAAATATTTTAGCATTTCTCTTTTTAACTTAATCTCTGTAGTGGACTTTTAAATTAGTTGGTTATAAATGAGTGTCATTAGAAAATTTAGAATTGATTTAAATGTTAAATTTGAGCTGAATTTTGAAAACTGAGTGCTATCCTAATTTGCATGTGTCCAATTTGCATAAACAAATGTCTAGTTGTGTCTAGTTGGCCATTTGCACACACATAATACTCATGTAAAATTTTTTGTATCAGGCTTTGTTATTAAGGACAAAATACTATTCGGTTTGGAACTGATTTGTTGTACAGTACACATAATAGAATTCCATACCCTATAATGTGTTCCCCCCACCCTACTTCATTTAAAAGGTGACATCTTTAATTTCACTTATCTTAAAACATTTTAATAACTGAGACTACCAATCATGTTTTATAGGGTTTGATTTCTGTGTCAGGGCCATATTTTATGACACTATCAGAAGCTTTTAATAAGGTGCTTTCTGCTGAGCTAATGATATGCTTTAGGTGGCATTTCTTATGCCTATCTTCAATAGACGTATTCAGGCTAGTGTGAATGTAATAATCAAGTCTCAATCAAACCATACTTAGTATGACAAATATTGCATTAGACAGTGATGTAGGTATTCATGTTTTTGATAAAAGGCTTAATTTGACTCCTTGCAGAAATGGGGAACTACTATTGATTTTTGTATCAGAGTATAAAGTATCAGTTATTTATAATGCACAAGAGAAATTGCTTCTTAATTAAAATAAAATGTGAAATTATTAATTCCATGGCTTTACATAGTAATGTACAAGATTAAGCATTAAATTCTATAGCAAATGTGTTCTTACAAGTGGCTCTGACTATGCAACTTACCAATTATTCTAAAGTGACCAGATTATACCACTTTCTCAATGGCTTTATAAAACTTTGTTTTCTACCAGGAACATTTAGATGGGGTGAATTATTTTATCCTACAACTCATTTACTTTTTTTCCTCTCCCAAGAAAATGTCAAAGAAATTTTTGGACAGACCATTATTCATCATCATATCCCTTTTAACTGGGACTGTGAGTTTATTCGACTGCATTTTGGACATAACAGGAAGAAACATCTTACCTACTCAGAGTTTACACAGTTTCTGCAGGTCAGTTGGTTGTGGGTTTTTTTTTTTTCATGCATTGACCATTAGCTCTGTCAGTTGTTCAGCATTAATGCCATTATAAATTAATGTTATTACATGATGGCGAGAGATTTGTTGTCCAGATGAACTAATCAGAACACAGCTACACTATCACTGTTTGATACATATGATACAATGAGAGCACATTGGAGGGCAGGATAAATTTTACTTCTAAAACATCCCCTCGTTTATAGTTACTCACAGTTAGTTAATCACAGTGTATGTCTGATTCTTGTTCCCATTGGAGTTCAGTGGCAAAATTGATTTCAATAGGGAAAGGATTGGGCTCTGAATAGCTCAACTGGCTGTTATTTCATGGCTTTTCTTGGCATTTTGTTATATTGCTTAACTTTTTGTTTAGCTTTGTAAAGTTTTTTCTATTACTTACCCTGCATTTCCCCATAACACACATTACTGCATCGCTGAAGTTTAAGACCCTTGTGCCATGCATTCTTCTATAAGGCCAAACTTGCATTGTGCCAAAAATCTTCCTTTGAGACAGTCCTGTGGGGACAGGACTTTAAAAGTTGTCACTCCCAGAACCATACTACTCTACATTAGAAGGGGAAAGGAGTTGTCAGCAAAAAAGGAAAGAAAGAAAATGTGAACAGACGTACATTGTAATTAAGGGGAAAGATTTTGCAAACTTATGTAGGTAATTGAATTCTGTACAATTTCAAATTATCAACTCAGACTAAATTTTTGTTGTGGTTTTCTGGCTAGTAGGTCTAAGGAAAATTAAAATGTCATAACTGACATGTAATTCCAGGGCTGCCCTATAACATTAAATTGTTTTCATTTTGGAAATAATTGCAGATGTCATAGAACTGGAAGGAACCTCTGGAGGTGACTTAGTCCAGTCCTCTGCAGTCATGGAAGATTAAATATTACCTTGACCATCCATGACCAGTGTTTATATAAACTGCTCTTAAAAATCTCCAGTGATGGAGATTTTGCAACCTTCTAAGCAATTTATTTCCGTGCTTAAATCACCCTGGCAGGAAGTTTTTCCTAATGTCCAACCTAAACCTCCCTTGCTGCAATTTAAGTCCATTGCTTCTTGTCCTATCATCAGAGGTTAAAGAGAATAATTTTTCTCCATCCTCTTTGTAACACCCTTTTAGGTACTTGAAATCTGTTACCATATCCTCTCTGTCTTTTCTTTTCTAGGCTATGTCTAGACTGTATTGCTTTTCCAGGATACCTCCAGTATCCCGGAAAAGCAACGCTGCGTCCAAGGAATGCGTCCACATTTCAGCACTGGCCATTCATAGAACCACCCCTCCAACACCAAAGGCTTTGACACAAACAGCACGCGCATCTTTGGCACCATACGCTTCAGCCCTTCAGCAATGAAGAAAGCACCCTGTAAATCTGCTTCAGTGCTACCAGTGACATTTTCACTGGAACCATCTTCGGCACTGCCATCTCTGTCCTACTCATCTACCAACAGACGACAGGGGACATTCCCCTTGTGATCAAACTGCACGTTGCGCGTCGAGGTACTGTTTATCGCCATCCCCCTACACAAGATACCTATATCATTCTTCTCCTTCTTCTTCAAGGGGCTCACTGCACTCACCATGGTCTCCACATCTTCTGGTACAACACCAGATGCATCACAGGACTGGCCATCTATCTCATTATGTTTCTCCAGTGCACTCCTACCCTAGACGACATAGCCCAACATACCACCGGTATTACTCTAGATATGACCCACCTCGCCATACTTGTCATCATTCTGGCTATGACTATTCTTGCTGTCACAGTCACCAGGCTTCCCGTGCTCCCTCAGTTTCCCCACAACCCTCTCACAGCCACGGAGTCACGAGATCACCACTCAATGCCCCCTTTACAGCTCACCATTCCGAATCAGAAGAGGGTTGACTACCAGAGGTTGAGGTGAAGTACCACCCATCAGATGTCTCACCAATTGACCAGTCGTCATGATCCCCTGACGAAGTGATCATCCCTGTTGACCAATCCCCTCCTGATGATCTTAGGCAATTTCAGGAGCTTTTTAAGAGGGTGACATCACCCTAGTGGAAATATCAGAAAAGCAACACAAGTTGCTTAAGAATCTTCAACCATCACAATGGGGAAGAATTGCAATACCGATTGATGAGGCCATCATGGAGGCAGCTGATGAAATTTGGCAGACTCCAGCGTCAGCACTACCAACTAACAAAAGGGCGGACAAAAGATATTTTGTCCCTCCCAAAGGGAGCTGACTTCTTATTCTCTCAATCTCAACCAAATTCATTGGTGGTAGATGCTGCCCAGCATAGATCCAAACTCCCTCAATACAAAAACACGATGGAGAAGGATAATAAACCCATGGATCTCTTTGCCAGGAAACTATATATATTCTTCCTTGATCTTACTCCTGCATATAGCCAACTGCACAGTGTTGCTCTCTAATCATAACTTCAGTAATTACACCAAACTCACTTCCCTACTACAGCACTTACCAGGCTCTAAGAGGACCCATTCTAAAGTCCATAGTTCAAGAGGGCTATGCTTCTTCTAGGACAGCCCTCCAAATACTGCTTGACATAGCAGACACAGCAGCCAGGGCTACAGTGACCTCAGTAATTATGAGGAGAGCCTCCTAGTTACAACTGGAGAGGGTCCCTCATGAGCTGCAGTCGAAGGTCGAAGATCTTCCTTTCAACAAACAAATTATTTGCTGAAAAAAACAGACAATGTGTTACATTCTAGCAAAGACTCCAGGACAATACTGCGAACACTAGGGATGTATACTCCCCTGTACCGTCAAACATGATACACCCCATATCAAAAGCAGCAACAGTTCTCCTACTCTAGATACCCTTTTGACCACTCTAACAGCAAACGGTGGCTGCAGAGGAGATGACCACAGAGTGCTCGTAATACCGGCAACCAGGCAAACAAGCAGCAAGTTTGACCTGTTGGTTGAGGGTCTGCAAAATCTTCCCATCTCTCACAGAGCATCAGAATCTACCATGATCTTTCACCTCTGTTTAAGGCCTTGTGATGGCAGCCCAGCGATGATGGAAAGGCCTTAAACATTGAAATTATAACATCAGGGTACACCATCCCCTTTACCACATTCCCTCCCCCCCACTTCCCTTCCCTCCCCATCCCTCTTCAGGGACCCGTCTCAAGAAGACCTACTAAAGCAGAAGGTGCAGTGACTACTAGGCCTAGGAGCAGTGGAAATAGCACTCAAGGCCTTCAGAGGCAAGGGGTTTTATTCCCATTATTTTCCTCATACCAAAAAAGACGGGAGGATGGAGGCCTATTTTAGACCTCCGTAGATTGAATCGATATTTAAGAAAGCAACGATTCAAGATGGTTACCCTAGCATCAATAATTCCAGCATTAGAGAAGGGAGACTGGTTTGCAGCCCTCGACCTTCAGGATGCCTATTTCCCCATAACTATTCACCCTGCACACAGACAGTTCCTCAGTTTCGTGGTGGGCACAGATCATTATCAATACTGAGTGCTACCATTCGGCCTTTCGTTGGGTCCCAGAGTATTTTCAAAGACATTAGCTGTTGTCACAGCTTACTTTTGAAGACAAGCCTTGAGCATTTTTGCGTATCCTGATGATTCCTTAGTGAAAGGCACATTGGAACTAGACACGCATCGCATGGTCGCAACAACCGAACGAACATTCATAGAATCATAGAACTGGAAGAGACCTCAGAAGGTCATCAAGTCCAGCCCCCTGCTCTAGGCAGGACCAATTCCAACTAAATCAACCCGGCCAGGGCTTTGTCAAGCTGAGACTTAAACACCTCTAGGGATGGAGACTCCACTACTTCCCTAGGTAACCCATTCCAGTGCTTCACCACCCTCCTAGTGAAATAGTTTTTCCTAATATCCAACCTGGACCTCATCCACCACAACTTGAGACCATTGCTCCTTGTTCTGCCATCTGTCACTACTGAGAACAACCTCTCTCCATCCTCTT